GACGCCGCCGGGCGTCGAGAAGTTGTGCGCCGCGTGGTCGCAGGGCACGGCCATGAGCTCGCAGTGGTGCGGGAGGGAGCCGCGCCAGCAGCCCAGGGACCCCACGGTCAGCGGCGTCACGGGGCACGGCATGGAGCCCCCGGCGACGACGACGGGCCCGAGCACGACGGACTCGTGCTGCATCAGCACGTAGTTTTCGGGCACACAACCCCCGGTCTCCGCGCCGAAGACGGCCTCGCGCAGCGCGCCGAGCTCCCAGACCGACTCCCGCGCCACGCGCATGATCTCGATGGACTGGTTCTTCAGGCGCGCGGCGGCGACGACGGCCGCGACGACCTCGGGCTTCGGCGACGCGTTGTCCACCACCACCACCGGCGCCTCCGGGTGGTGCGTGCGGATGGACAGCAGGCACAGCTCGAAGATCTTGCGGCCGATGATGTCCTTGATGTGCGTCGGGATGACGATCGCGAGGGGGGTCGTGCATCTTCTCGGCCGCGCGTTCACTATTAGCCCGCCGCAGCCGAGCGCCGCCGCGCGCGCCGCGACGACCGCGCCCGCGCGCTCGTCCGCGTCCTTGTGGCAGTGGTGGCGCGGCTGGCCCGCCGGCGGGCACTTGGGCCGGCAGTGCTGCCGCAGCGCGCCGGACGGGCCCACGGCGACGCGGTCGCAGGACATCTCGTCGCCGCAGCAGGGCTGCCCGAAGCCGCACTGCGACCATGGCTCGGCGCAGGGCGCCATGTTGCGCAGATTCGCCGCCGCGCACCAGGCGCACGCGAGGAGGAGCGCGCGAACCATCCTTGGGCGGGCTACTCCATAATGCGGTACACCCTGTGATGTTGATGCCGAGGTGCTGCTCTCACAGACGATGAAGAGCGGCGCTTACGGAGCGCGATGATGAAGAGCTGCGCTTACGGAGGCACGATGACCTCGACATCTCGGATGTCTCTCCTCGTCGTGCTGCTCGCGGCGACAGCATGCCACGCCTTCGTCGCGCCGACGCGCACTTCCGCGTCGCGCGTCGCGCGCCGCGCCGAGGGCGACGACATGGACAGCTTGCTCCAGGGCCTCCAGAGCCGCGTGCAGGAGATGATGACGCGCCAGGCGACGATGCCTATCGTTGTCCTTGACTCCATGCTGCCCGGCCAGCGCATCAAGCTCCAGAGCGCGGACCCGGCCTTCCGCGAGATGATCGAGTGGGTCGGCGTGAAGGCGTCCGAGGACAGCGGCGAGGAGCAGTACGACGACGACTCGAAGGGCGTCTTCGGCATGGTCGGCGCGGACCGCCAAAACGGCGGCGCGTTACCCTTCGGCGTCGAGGCGCGCGTGCTCGACGTCGCCG